CCCCAAAACCCCAAAACCCCAAAACCCCTAATTTAAATATTTAGATACAACATTTGACTTTGAACTATAATTAATAGATTTAATTATTTCACTTTTTCCTTGGATTTTTAGAGCATCTCTCTTTATTGATATGCTGCTTCCATTTATCCTCTATTTTACCTGGACCAAGCTTACTAATATTTATACCACATAATGGGCACATCACATCATTAGTAGGATTTGGAGTACATTTATTGTCAACCGTATGCTTTTCAAATTTATTCTCATGCATGACTTCTTTACACCTTTGACACTATCTTAATTCATCTTTTTTCACACAATCAGATAGCCAGTGATTCTACATATCATTTATTTCTATTTGCATTTAACAGTACTAGCATTTCGCAAAGAATCTGCAGTCCTCGAAATAATGTATTTCAAGTACTTCCTATCTATCAAATTCTTCATTCTCAATATCACAGAAATTACATTTTCCTGGTTAAAATTTCGAACTTGCAAAAGATTTCTTACTCATTGATCTTGATATCTTTTAACTTGATTTTAAATCCATTGATTTACCAACGCTAGTATTTGTTTTAGAAGTCGAGTTACTAAGACCTATAACTTAATACGCAGCCTAAATATCTCCTTTATCAGCCTCGGCAAAAGATCTATTAATAATATCTAGTTTATGAGGAGAGAGATCTATGAATTCACTCATTAGTGGCTTACCGATCAAGAGATAAAGCTCTAGTAACACTGCATAAGCTGCTACCCTAACTGTAGCATTTCCATCTTGTAAATGCTTGATTGCAAATTCACTTACTACTTCCCAGTTTTGCTTTACTTTATATGTTTAAAGTATTTTCTTTAATAAATTAAGCTTTCCTGAGTTATGCTTAACAGAATTAAGTGCAGATTTTTTGACTTATCCTTTGGTAATTTACTCAATCATATTTTAAGTTCCAATAGCAGGATGTCCAGCCATAACTAGAGCTGCCTCTTCTGTAGTTTCTCTAACTTTTCCATTATTATCACCAATTTTATCTAACATCCAATTAAATGTTTGTTTCAGATTCGAGTTTAATTCTCCTTTGACATTCAATGTGATAGTGGGATATATTTCTTTACAGACCTTTATTATCATTGCAGAAGCTGAAATGCTAACAGAGGCTATTTTATCGCAAATGGTTTATGCAATCACTCCGAAACAACTAGTGAAAAGCCTCTCTTACTCAATATGACCACAAATTTAGGATTTTGTTCCCTTAGTTACTTCTTCAATGACTTCCTAAATAGCTTTCTCTCTTAAATGCCAATCAGCAGAATAAATCTTTTTAATAATTTCCATTCCAAAAACTGGAATTAGAGGAGCAGCTGATTTCATATCATCTTCCGTAAGATCTTCTGACTTTCCTACAGGCAAGTCTTCTTCAGTATTTTACTTTGAAGACTCATCATATTCAGGTATACTGAAATGACCACTTTTACCTGTATGAGTCGGAATTACCATCTCATCTACATTCACTACCTCACCCCCCATTCCTGAGACTTATCCTTAACCTCCAATCATAGGAGGAGGTCGATTGGAGTTAAGTTTCTTTGCCAATTCATCTGTGGTAATGGGTTATTAGTTGCCTATTTATTTCTTGAAAACTCAATCAACTTTTCTGATTGGTTCAATGATAAAATCTCCTCCTGCTCTTATTTTATTTATTTCTTCTTGAGTAAATACTTTGTCTTAATCTAGTTATGGTTACAATAGATTTTTAGGATTTCTCATAATAGTCTCAGTAGTTAGTTAAATCTTATCGAATAGCCTATGATTGTCAGTTTCAACAATCCTCTGAACCTCTTTTCTAGACCATTCTCTAGACAGAGGCTTCAGTTATGAAGTATCTTCAAATTAAAGTCTGGCATTTAGGACTGTTGTCCTTAATGCTTATATTTCATCAGTAAGTTTTTTAGCTAAGTTAAAATCTTACTTATCAAGAGCTTACCTTTTTTTATCCACTAATTCATTTAATTTAATTCCAATAGCCTTCATTCTTTCAATAGCATTTTTTATTTTAATCGCTCTTTCATAATCACCCTCAATAACAGCTGATTTTTTAGCAGTATAAAGCTGTTTCAATTTTTCTATTGTTGAAGGATCATACTACATTTCTTCTTCAAAGCGTCCACCTATAGGTATAGGCTCTCTTAATCCAGATGGTGGTACATAGTGCTCCCCAAGACAATTTACTGCAATTATCGAGACTTAATTGAAGAGATTAAGTTTATTTTGGTGATTTGAGAATATATTAAATTTCAAAAGCATAGCCATAGAATCAACATATGCAGATTTCATCTCTCTCGCCTGATATTTAGTTTTCTCATTAGAATCAAAATCTAGATATCCCAATTTTTCAAATTAAATTTTATTAAGTGGTAGTTCTCCTTAAAGAGCTTGGAATCCACTAGGCAAGAAAGAGAATAATTCTATTTTAGATGGAATTTTATTCTGATGGGTGAGGATCTAAATCTCTCTAAGTCTAACTAGGTGTGTAAATTGAACAATAATCTCTTGGGGATACTCGCAAAATTTAGCTGAAGTCCAGCCTTTACATTGTGGTGAGTTATAAAGTAATTCAGTTACTGGGAATATGGGATCCTCACCTGATTGTTTAAGAGAAAATAAATAACTTACCAGTGCAATATAAAACTCTATATGTAAGTTTTTACAGTTTGTGATTTGCCATTAAATTCTAATTTAGATTATACTTCTTTGTTGCTTCAATTTTTAGAATAACTAGATTGAGGGGTTTTGGGGTTTTGGGG